TTCAGGGGATCTCGTAGTCGAGCAGTCTCGACTAGAGCTTTCTTACTTGTTAATTGTAATTTTCTTATTGTAATTTTCCAAAATTAATTAATGATCTTGCTCATGTTGTAAAACAACTCAAAGGTAAATGATATTTCAGTGAGTCATCCCCTGCATATACATAATTTCATAATTAATTGCTTACCCGGCGACAATTTCCGTAAGCCGAGGGCTTCCTTAATAAAGTGAGCGCTGCATATTTTGTGATTTTTTCCACGATACACTGCCGGATCGAGCCTTAAGTTATAGCACCAACGACGCAACAATACCTCATCTCTGGGGAACCGGTAAAGCGACATGTTGAAGTCCGAGGAGCGACTGCGGCGACAAAAGTTCAGGCAGCAACGTTTCTCCTCAACATACAGATTCTTCGGATTGTCATGAATCTTGCCATACTGGGCACCCAAATGAAGTGTAGGTACAGCCCAGGGTTTCAGTCGGAATTTGCCAATGCAACGCTCCTCGAAGTGCCGACTGCAGAAGTGACGCGGCTCTTTGGCCTGCACAGGCAGACGTGCGTTCTGGCACCATTTGATCAGACTCTTGATATCCTTCGGAAAATTGTAAAACTTGAGATTGCTCTCACCGCGCTGGCTCGTGCAATTGGGCATGCTGCAGCGAGCTACCTCGCCCGTGGTAAATGTGTTGGTTAACTCTCGATTCTGATACAAATTGGCGACATCGTCGTGGCCCAGGTTGAACGTGGGCACTGCCCAATAGCAGAGCGAGTAGCGATTTATGCAACGCTTCGGGAAATGCATGCTACAAATGCGAAAGCTGGCATAGCTGGACGCAGGTATGTGAAACATTTTGAGATTGTGCAGCCATTGATGCAGATACTTCTCGTCCTTGGGAAACGTGAAGAACTGCAGAGTGGGGCTGGTGCTCTTGCGCACTCCACACAATGGCACGCAGCACAGCGCATCTTCCGATTCATCCAGCGTGGAGGAATGTGCCTGCGGTCCACCAATTACAACGCCGCTCGTATGCAGCGAGTTGTCGCTCCCATAAGAATTGTTGTAGCCGCTGTTCTCGTGCAGGCTATATCCGGACTCGCTGGTCGAGTTGCTGTAGCTTCGCTCCAGCTTAATACTCGGCTCGTTCTTTAAGGATGAGGCAAAGAGGGAGGCGCCACCATCAGCGTTCGCTTGACGCTGCTGTAGCAAGGAACTAAGCGCCGCCGTAGCAGGCAACGCATTTGCTTTGTGCTGAGACGCAGTCACTGCAAAGAGAGAGCATTATTATAAGCGCAAATCAGTCGGAGTAACCAAGACTTACTCTCTATCGTGCCCATGTGGCAATCCTGCAATTTATAGTTACTCTGCTCCGACAGCTGCTGGTGTTGCTGTTGCTGATGTGCTGCTGCATAGTACTTGCCGCAAAAGTAAGGGGCCGCTAGGCGATGCTCGTGCAACTCCAGCGCGGTTTGATACCATAAGCGGCAAATCGGGCAATCGAAGCGCTGCTGAAATTTGTGCAGCGGCAAATGGGCGTAAAGCTGTTCACGCGTAGGAAATGCCATTGAGCACATCTGCAAATGATAAATTGTAATTAGTATAGCCTTTCTCGTATAGAAATTATAAATTTCCCTCTTCTTACATTGCACACAAAGCTGTCGTAGTCGTGTTGCATGTATTCGTGCGATTCGCAATCGGCAATATTGTCAAAGTACTTGCCACAGTACTTGTGACAGAAGAACTTATCAGCGCGGTGCAGTTGCTTGTGCTTCTGCAGGTCCTCGCCACCCATGAAGGACATGGGGCAGATGTTGCACTTGTAGTCGTACTCTTGGATCGTGCAACTACTCTCGGCCACATGTCGCAAATAGATTTGCTTCTTAAAGAACACCTCCTTGCAGCGTTGGCAGATGGGCAGACTCTCCGAGGAACGTTCCGTTTGCAGCTTACGGCGAGGAAAGCTGAGCGGATTCTACAATACAAAAGAAAACTTTATAATAATATAACAATTTAGTCTTTCGGAGCTCACCTTTTGGTTGCCATAGGCATCATCCTTTACAGTTAACTCCACCTTTGGACTCAGCATTTCGTCACCAAATTCGGGAAATTTGCTAAAATCGGCAAAGGGCGTATTGTCATCAATATAGTTGGACTTGAAAGCATGTTCGTCAGTGGGTTCCGCTGTCAAAAACAAAATGAATATAAACAATTTTTTATTAATATATTGAATACATTTATTATCTCAGCTCTTTATCAAACTAATTTCCGTCTGCTGACTTTGCTGTGCTTTAATAAAATAAAATGTATTTTAATTTTAGAAATCTATTTTTACAAGTTAATCGGCACAAATTGTATGTGCAAAATAGAAAATGGAAAAAATATAATAATTCCTAAAGCTCCATTCAATATTCAATATTATATTTTCAAACGGCAGTTCTTCAGAGATTATTCTTATATTGTACCTTACTTATATTCTATAAACAAATTTTTATTTTTAATATCTTGGAAAAAAAAGAAGGTTGTGGTATTTGAATGAAGTAGGATTGAAAAATTCACTATTAAGATACAGAAAAATGTCTTGGAGATTGTTTTCATATTGTATAATTTATGTAGCATATATTGCTAAAAATAGTAAGACATATGTCAAATGAATTGTACAACAACAATAATTTGCATAATTAATAGACGTTTAAAAAATTAAGCTATAATAAAAATTGAGTTAATGAGAGTATATCTTCATTTAACCAACGAAAATATACATATGTAGATATGTTTGCCTTCATGTGCATGTAATGAATATCTTTTAGAAAACTTTAGCTTTACAGTTTCTATGGTTTTACGTGTGCATACATTTTGTTAGTTTGTTTCAATTGTTCTCGCTTCTTTGATAAGCATGAATGCAGAGATAACAGAAACGAGAATTTTCTCTTGTATCTTCCCTATACACGTAAATCTATTCACATATGAGCAAATATTTCTTAGTTTTCCAGAAATGTGTTTAGCAAAATGGAAATAAAGAATTTGAATTAACATTTTTATTTATTCTTCTTGAGACCCCGCCCTATTGGGCATCTATGCGTTAATATATACATATATTTGGGAACCTAACAGTTACATAATGTTCGAGACTTAAAAGTGAGAATTAACAAATATACATTAACGCACACACAACCAATATAAAGTCTATTAATTTTGGATTACCCAGACAGGGTACAACGTATCCAGCTGAGCTTATATGACGATGGTATATGTATGTACATATATATTGTAGGTTCCTTAAATATACATATATCGACGAGATAGATACATACACAGAGCACTCCGAAACAAAGGTACAGATACGGAGGCGAACAAAACAAAACCGAATATGGAAAACCTAGCGAACCTACCGAAAAACAACCGACCGAAACAACCGCTAAAAGTCTCAGCGTAACTCTACTCTGTAACAAAACGCTTTATTGATTCGGCGACGCCAAAAGCGGAGCTGAAATTACTGCTACTTACGCTATACGACAAAATATATGGGCGCCCAAGTAACAGTAACTGGGAGCGCACTCTCTCTCCCTCTCTCTCCTATTCACACTCAATCACTTACACTCTCAGCCTTGTTTTTGTTACGCTCAGACTATATGAGTGCGTCTGTACCAATCAGATATGGTGGTATGCACATTTACGAGCACGAAGCACGATTTTAATAATTTGCTCGCTCCGAATGACTCTTACATACATATACTAAAAATATATTGTTTTCGTAGCCGAATAAATTGATGAATTGCCATAAGAAAATCAAATTTCTCTGTTGAAACATACTTTTTACTTCTTAGTTAATAGTTGATATTTTTACTGATATCCCAAATTGATTCAATAATCTAATTTTCCTTTTCACAATATTTATAATACCAAATCAAATGCAATTGAAATTTCTTCTTATGTTTCGTGTCGTGACATAAATATCAAATATGATCTCATCTCTATACCCCAATCTAGAACCAATTGCTTATTGCAGCTAGTATATTTGCATTACTGTGTGCGTATGTGGATATCGATATCCCTAAAGCTCGATACTTACATTTTATTATCATTTCGCCGCTAGCATCAAGCGAGTGGCGATTGGAGACGGGCGCTGGAGGCGGTGCCATTGGATTTTGAAAATGTTGTAGGTGCTGCTGTTGATGTTGTTGATGGCGTTGTCTTTCATCGGGAAGCTCCAATGGTTCGCTCTTAATATATGGATAGGAGCTGTGCACTATGCTGTGCGGCATATACGAACGTTGACTGAGGTGCTGTTGCTGCTGCTGTTGTTGATGTTGCTGCTGTTGTTGTTCTTGCTGGTATTGCAGCAGCTGGTTGTGCGCATAGGCCACAGTATTAGCTTCAAGGTTATATCCCACCCCCGCAGCAGCAGTAGCAGAAGCAGCCCCGTAATAGTGCGTCCCACCCGCTCCGTATGCATTCATAATGCTATTGTTGTTGTTGTTGTGATTGTTGTTGGTGCCGCTCTTGCAGGGTGTCGCATACGGGTGCGGCTGTTGGGGCGGGTAGGAAGCAACATGTGAGTACCAACTGTGCTGCTGCTGTATTTGTTTATGTTGTAAATGCTGATGCTGCTGGTGCTGTTGCTGTTGTTGCTGTAGATGATGCTGCTGCTGCTGTTGCTGCTGGTAGTAGTGGAGATGTTGTTGTTGATGCTGATGCGAATGCGGTTGATTATTGTGTTGTGACATTACGTTAGAGATTTAGTCGTATCTTTGATTTTGGGCAAATTTTCGTTTCACCTATGCAATTGGCTATTAGCAAAAAAAAAAACACCCGAAGTATACTACTACTGTTTCATCTCTCTCGCTCGCGCGCGCTGTCTTTTTCATTTGGCGTCGTCTTTTATATACCAGTTTTTCAGTGTTCTGCCCCCTTCGCAGAGATGTTTGCATGTATATATGTGTTTGGGTATGTATCGAAATGTCAATTTATTTATTCACAAGTCGATCTCAAGTCAATTGGACATATTTTTTACTATTTAGCGATTGATAACCAATTGGAAATTATTACATTGAGCGCGAGAACCGAAACTTTCAACACTTTTTTCGTTCGTTTCGTAGATTTAGCGCGACGCGACACAACAAACTCCTGCGTGCATGCATGTGCGTATATTTGCAAGTGTGTGTGGTTACCGTAGTGATGTGATAATCGCTAGGTGGCGCAGTAATCTTCGATGTTTTCTCTTGCGCAGTGGTATCGATATGAACAAAAATCAAAATAAAGTTCATGCAACGTATATTTGAATTAAACTTTTTTGACATAAAAATATTGTAATCGTTTAGTATCAAGTAGATATCGTCCCAAACAAAATATGTACTTTAAATGTCAATATTATATAGATACTTCATAAGATTAGAGTCTACTAGTGGAAACAATGAAAATGATTTTTTAAATATATTTTTCGCTGAACTACAAACTTGGCCTTCATTATGTTATTTTAGGACCTATAACGCCCACTCGTTGTTGCAATTGCTCTTTGAGTAGTTTGGAGTCTGTGACCAGTTGTTCTTCAGCCAGCTTATCGAGGGTGCCACGCAGCTTTTGCTTTACTTCATTAATGCGCCCAGAGTTTTTCGCTGATATAGGTAATATGTGCTTAAATTTGATCACTCTATTTGGACGCAGTTCATCTGGACAGGCGGATAGATTGCTGTTCAAGTCCGTAAGAAACGGCTTTATATTTGCTAGCAACTCCTGAGCCCCTTCCTTGTCCATTTTGTTGATCAACAACACGCAGGGCTTCTCTAATAACTCAGGATCGTATAGCTCCAGTTCCTTGTTGAGTGCATAAATGTTGCTCAGGCAGTCGCGATGTTCGTGGCGTTGACTCAGTTGAAAGCCGAAAATATCCACCATGAAAAGCAGCAGACGAGTGCGCTCAATATGCTTCAGAAACTTGTGACCCATACCAAAGTTTGCATGTGCCCCTTCTATCAGACCAGGAAGATCGGCAATAGTTATTGAGCGTAGGTCAGCGTACTCCACGGTTCCGACTTGTGGCCGAATCGTGGTGACTGCAAAGAGAAGCAAATGATTTAACAATTGAAGCTGTAGATATATATACATACATACATGGATACGCTGCTATCTTGGGTTTCGCATTAGATATAGCTTTCAGCAGCGTGCTCTTGCCTGCATTGGGAAACCCAACCAAACCCACGTCTGCTATTAATTTCAGATCTAGCTGCACCGTACGACTTTCTCCGGGCCGACCGATGAAATTGTTGCCTATACAGCCGCCTGTGCCGCCGCCCGCTACAATGCAGCTGGAATCGGGTTCATTGAGATCCGCCAACAATTTCTGCTGTTGCTCATCGTACACCTGAACTCCCAGTGGTACCTCTATTCTTTGGTCCATGCCGCGTTTTCCATATATGTTCACTTTGCTGCTGTCCTCGCCACTGGTCGCCTGAACGCGTTTTTCTCTTAGATTTTGTGCCACTTTCCGTAATGTTAGTCCCTCCTTGGCCACGAAGTAGACGCAGCCGCCCTGGCCACCAACTCCTCCATATTTGGGTAAGCCATTTCCACCATGTCCGCCACGTACCGTCAACCGCAAAGTGTCCAAGAAGTTGCAACGAAAATGTGCTCGCGCAGGCTGTAAAATTAATTATCATTAATTGCATTTTAATTTAATATTTAACTACAAACCGTTTTTGTGGATTTCAGCAGGAACTTGAACAGTTGCACCATCGCGAACAGCTGATCAGTAAGTGTGGACTAGTATGCTGGTAGCAGTAACAATGCTGGAATAAGTTACAATAATTGCAATTGTTTGTACTACACCACAACACCACAGGTAGGCAATTAAATTACATTTTCACTTAATTATGTTTTGTGTCTTAAAAAAATAACATTTCACTTGTTGAGCATCAACTGTAAGCGATATATTTTTCTAAGAGTCATCGATAAAAGCAGCTGATTGAGCACATGTTTGCTTGTTGTTTTGGTTGACCAACTGCAACACGATTCGCGCATCTCTAGTTGGTATTAAAGTATTTCTTATATTTCATTTTTAGAACACTCACGCGTGTTGTGAAATGGAACCGGGGATTTGCTACATTAAGCCTGAGTAAGTGATATATGTATGGATTTTCAAGCCTTAAGTATATGTTAGATTTTGTATTAAAATAGGTATTTGTTGGCAGAACCTAATGGTGCCCACAACTGGGAAGTAAAACCATCCACTGATGGAGAAACAAACAAAAGAAAACACCTGGAGAATGAGGAAACTACAAACGAGCGACAAAGCAAGCGTGGAAGTGGCAAAAAAGAGCGGAAACGTGGCCAAAATAAAGTAAATATTTATTTCACCTTTAGTTTTCGTTGTATAAAAGAGTTTTCTATTAGAATCGACCCGTGTTCAAAGATGAGCGCTACTCTCATTTGTGCCACTCGTTGGTAGATGGCGCTGGTGGCGAGCCCTGCACTCTGCCAAATTGCCGTTATGTGCATGATCTGAACGCGTTTATAGCAGCCAAAGGTGCGGATTTGGGTGAGCAATGCTACGTGTATGACACCAAGGGATATTGTGCACGTGGCATCACATGCCGTTTTGCCAAAGCCCACACAGATGAGAACGGACGAAATATGAAGAAGCCAAATTACGATGAAAAAGCCGCGCAGACTACGTACAATGGCATCAGCTCAGGTAAAGTGAAATTTAAGTGAAAAAAGTAAACGATTGTAATGATATATATTGTTTAAGCAGAGCTACAAGTGCGTCTGCGCAAGCATGATTACGACTTTAGTCGTAGCAAAGAGTTGATCAAGAAGGCGGAAAAGCGCAGAGATGAAAGGAAGAAGGATCAGCAGCCAAAGGAGTTGGAGGTTCAGAACCTAGACAAAGAGGAACAGGAGGGCAGGAAAGAACGCCAGCAGCAAGATGTGGCACCTATAGAGAAAGAAGAAGCGACAGAGGACCAGTCATCGGTGAGGAAGCCCATTGGTAGTGCTATAGATGAAGAAACAAATGGACGCGATGCGCACCGAAAGCCTGTCATCGATTTTCGAGAGAAGCTGCTGCTCTCCCCGTTGACAACAGTGGGAAATTTGCCATTTCGTCGCATCTGCAAGGAGTTCGGGGCAGACATCACCTGTGGAGAGATGGCATGCGCTGTCCCGCTGCTCAAGGGTCTCGGGCAGGAATGGGCGCTGACCAAGCGTCATCAAAGCGAGAACGTGTTTGGCGTGCAGCTGTGTGGCAACAACCCGAATGTGATTAGCCAGGCGGCGCAAGTGTTGCACGAAACATCGCGGGTGGACTTCATTGATCTTAATATAGGCTGTCCGATTGACCTCATCTATCAACAGGGCGGAGGTAGTGCACTAATGCGCCGCACCAATATCCTGGAACTGACTGTGCGCAGCTGCTCGGCGCTGTCCGAGCGGCTGCCTTTCACTGTGAAAATGCGCACAGGTGTCTATGCGGATAAGAGTGTGGCCCACGAACTGCTGCCTCTGGTAGAGGAATGGGGCGCCTCGGCTGTTACCTTGCATGGACGTTCCAGGGAGCAGCGATACACGCGCCAAGCCAACTGGACGTATATCGAGGAGTGCGCCAAACAAGCCAAGCATATACCCGTGATTGGGAATGGCGACATTCTGAGCTATGAGGACTACGTAGAGCGACGAGCTTTGGCTCCACACGTTAGCTCTGTCATGATTGGACGCGGTGCGTTAATCAAACCTTGGATCTTCCAGGAGATCAAAGAGCAAAAAGCGTGCTCACCCAGCTCGACGCAACGGTTTGAAATGTTGCGTCGCTATTGCAACTACGGATTGGAGCACTGGGGCTCAGATACTAAGGGCGTGGAGAGCACTCGGCGCTTTCTGCTCGAATGGCAATCGTTCCTATACCGCTACATACCAGAGGAGCTGCAGCTGTCGCCGCCACAGAAAATCAATGCCAGGCCACAAAAGTATCGCGGACGCGATGAAATGGAATCACTGATGAGCTCCGGCAACGCCTCCGACTGGGTGCGACTCAGTGAAATGCTGCTCGGCCCGGTACCTCAAGGATTTACCTTTGTACCCAAGCACAAGGCGAATGCTTTCTAATTCCCGATCCGTTGTTGACTATTCATTTTTGCTACTCGTATTATATATACCTGCATATGTGTTACATTATGTAATAAAGCGTTTAGCTATACCATGTAAAACTACTCCTTTTACAATTTTAGATGAATGACATTGAATGCCCACTGATATAACTGGTTGAACTCGTGGTATGAGATTTGTTAATATAAAAATGTTTGGTAATACATCGATCGACTATTTGAACTGTGTTTTTAACACTTGCTGATTTAGACGACAATTAACACTAGTCTACCGTTTAAAATTATAAATATGAGTGGAATTTTCGATAGAGCTACGAGTACTTATAGCTTTAATGGAGTTCTGGCTGACCATACTTTTCCAATTTTCCCAACATACGTACTTCACGCCACTTCATAGTGGGTAAGATGATTACTTATATACAAAGTTGTATACTAACACCCTACCATATACTTATACATCAGATTTGCTCTGAAGATCTGTCAATCCCAGTTGGTATGTAGCATAACCTATCCAATCCCCTCTGTTTGCTTAGAATACAAGATTTAAAAAAGATTTATTCAGACACAATAAAAAAAAAGGACAATCACTTCAAGTAGCTAAGCGCCTCCTCCACATCAGCCTTGGAGCCTAGGAATATTGGGCTGCGCTCGTGAATTTTCTGTGGGACAATATCCAGTATGCTGATCTTGCCATTGCTGGCCAGACCGCCAGCCAGGATCATGAGATAAGCCATGGGATTGCATTCATAGAGCAGACGGAGCTTGCCATTGGGCGACGACTTGGTGGCCGGATAGATGAAGATGCCGCCGTATTTGATAGTGCGGTGCACATCGGCCACCATGGAGCCGACGTAGCGAGCGCCGTACGGCTTGCCTTTGGCGGGATCCTTCTTTGCAGCAATGTAGTTGTAAACGCCCTCATCCCAGTCGGAGGCATAGCCTTCATTGATAGAATAGATCTTGCCCTTGTTGGGCACACGCATATTGGGGTCAGTCAGAATGAACTCGCCAATGGCCGGATCGTAGGTGAAGCCGTTCACACTGCTGCCCAGACCCAGGACAATGGCTGTCGCAGAGCCGTAGAGCGCATAGCCGGCAGCAACGAGCTGGTTGCCCGGCTGCAGTGCATCCTGGACAGTGGGCACTCCCGTGCTCTTCTTCCGATAAATGGCGAAGATGGAGCCAATCGACACGAGGCAGTCAATATTGGAGGAACCATCCAGCGGATCAAAGCAGACTATATACTTTCCCTGTCAACGAATGCGATCAAGTTATTAAATCCTCTAGAGAAATGTAGCTCACTTACCTGTCGTTCCGTTTCCACCTCGATCACATTCTCGTTCTCCTCGGAGACCATAAGGCACGTGGTGTAGGACGACTTGAGCATGTTGATGAACAGCTCATTCGACAGCACATCCAACTTCTTTACCTCCTCTCCCTGTACATTGACATCGCCAGCGATACCGTGCAGCTTGGCTATGCCAGCCTTCCGCACTGCAGATGCAGTCGCCTTGATGGCCGTCTGTATGCAATTCAGCAGCTGGGACAGATCTCCAGTCGCTTCCTTGAACTTACGCTGTTCCTGGAGCACGAAACGCGTCAGCGTCATCGCATTCGAGTCGAAGGCGGGTCCCTGCTGCGTCATTTTGGCTGCCGGAAGTCGGAGAAATTGATAAAATAGATGTTAAGCGAAATTCTCTTCCGCTAAGAATCGAGCAATAGCAACATGTATTTACAAGTATTAACTTTGCAATTTAGTTAAGGAATTTCTACCAGGCTGAGCTAGCTAATGAAATACTCTGGTTCTAGTATGATGCATAGTTTTGATATGATCTACGTATTCAAATTAATTAATTTGTGACATTACAATAAATATAGAAGTAGAAGAGACAAACGTTACCGAAAACAAACGAAAAATATATTATAGCTATAAAGAATAATGAATAGACTTATTGACAAATCTGGAGAACTGGCTAATGATTAACGTTTACTATTTGTGTTATACATGCTAAAAATATATATTTTTTATTTATATGGAACACTATTCTTTTTTTTAAGCAATCTGAAACCATTTTCAATGGGAAACGAGGATATAATGGCTTTGTTGAAGTGTATGTAACAGAAGGCAGATCCCGAAAAGTATATATATTCTTGATCAGGGCGACGAGCTGAGTCGATTTAGCCCTGTCCGTCTGTCTGTCCGTCCGTCCGTATGCTTGAACGCGTCCATCTCAAAAGATATACGAGCTAGAGACTTAAACTTTTTTTAGAATGTCCATATACATATATAGCGCAGATATTGAGTTTATCGATATCGATCCCGCTATTTTTATCGATGAAAACCTTATCGAAAATCAGTAATTTAATTATATCTGAAGCTAGAGTCCTCAAATTTTAAATATATATTCATCCATCTGAGTATATATTTAAAAATATATTTATACAATTTCGATTTTTGATATAATTTAATAATTTGAATCCCCTTATACAATACCTCCCTTATATCTCTGGTTAGTGCTTATATTCACCCTCTCACCCTGTAAAAAGCGTATTTCAAATACTAGAGAACTGTGCTTTGGCAAATATTAGCAAACTTATGTAAATAAATTTATTCATTTATTTGTATAAGATTAATTGCTATTACTCAAGCCTTGATTAAAGATCAAGAAATACATGCATAAAATGTTATATAAGCACAAGCATATATAATTAGTTTGAAAATCAAATTGTGGTAATAACATAGAGTAAATAAATATGGAATTATCTGCTTTATAATCTATTAAGAGTTAAAGGTTACGTTTTTGTGGACATGCTCTAGAATAGATAGCAAAATTCATAGAGTACAGGACTAACTTCGAATCATAAATTTCACAGCTAGCTAGTTAGTTGGATTGAGTTGGGGTACTAGTTATGTAAGTTATAATAATTGAAAACTTGTGGTGCAATTAAGAGGGTAAACAGTCAATAGGCAGGCAGGCGGCAGGAGGCAAAGGAGCGAAAGAGGAACTGGTGCTGGTGCTGGTGCTGGTGCTGGTGCTGCTGTTGGTAGAGGAAAGCAGTGCGAGTCTCTTAATTTTTCCACTTACAATCACCGTTGCTGGCCGCCATGGTTGGGTCGTATATAGTGTATCTATGTGTGTATACAATATCTGATGCGGTTCCTGTGGTTCTTTAAAAACAACAACAACAATGTCGTATACAAAAATTTAATGCCAGACCAAAATAAAAGTGTCAAGGTCAAATGGGAGCTCAGTAAAAATACGAGAGATTGGGAAGCTTGGGTGAAAACTCATCAAAAACTTGTCAGACTCGCCCGATGTGATTATTTGTTTCGGCTAGCACTGATAACCTGTTTGAACTTTTTGGTCTACATGCACGTCTATATACATATGTATTTGCTTAATGATAAATATATGTAAGTATGTATGTAGTCTGATATGCTCGAACAGAACCGGAACAAGCAAAAAGTCTTTTTCTTTCGATTTTTTTGGCGATTTCTGAGAGCTGGGACACGTGCCCCTAATTTAAATTTAGCAATAGTGTCGCAAAAACACATGATTTGATTTAGCTATGGCATATGTTGCTATACACATATATGTATATTCTATATACATATGTATGTATATGTTGCTACATACGCAGTATCGCCCACTTGGCTATAACTTTGCTTTGACCCTTTCCAATGCCGGCAAAGCCAAAAATTTGTAGTGCTTCCTCAAGTATGTACATATATAATCATGTGCATATGTATATGTATATACACACATATGTATATATACAAATATATATATTTATATACATACACATACATATGCATATATGTATATATATATATGTATATAGTTATATTTTACGCATTATGTGGGATAGAACTTTCACTTACAGCACAGACAACAATAAACGTAGCGATCAAAACAGAAGACGAATGAAGATGCGAAGAGACAGTCAAAGAACCGCACTCGATGGCTGTGCTGCAGAGACTGAGAGACGTCGCCTTTCTGCTGGCACTAGGTGCGAGAATAGGAATGGGCAGCGATTGCAGTGTAACAAAAAATACAAGAAAATAAGCAGTGCGTGTGCGAGACCGGAAATACCCTGTAGTTGATTATATATGTATATTATTTTGTTATTTTATTTATTTATTTTGTATGCATCAGAATTAATATAAAAATTAAAACTAACTTACAAATCGAGCACTCACAATTGGGAACTTCGGCTTGACCTTTTATAGCATGGAGTAATATAGCGTTTTATAGCAAGTCTGTACAAGCATGTTAAAATTGAAAAATAGTGTACACGAACATATATATGATAAATCTCCCTTTTTCGTATGCTTTCCAGCTGAATTGTGTCGTAAACAGATAACACGTCAACGTACGCTTAAATAGAGTCAGACTGTGAGAGAGTGAGAGCGAAAGAGCGAAAAGAGAGGAGAGAGAACGGCGAAAAGGGAACAGCTTACAGAAATACATATGTATATATGCATGCATACATATGTACATATGTATGTATTGGGTGCATGCTGATTGAGCTAATGAACAGAGTTGTCCAACGCAAAGAGGGCGCGAATGAACACGACGACACAGAGCATAACTGGAGACATACTGAAATACACTCAATACATTCAAGTCATACATATGTATGTATTTGCTTAGCAAAAGCTGGAAGCGAATTTTTATTTAGACAACTTTTTTACTTAAGACCCGCTGTTATCAGTCGCTATTGCCGGCGCAAAAATGAAATAATGTTTTAATTAAAAAAGTCATTTTCCAAAGTCGCGCATGTAGCATGCAATACTGTATAATAAAGAATATTTCAATTGATTTCTAACTTTGTTTGAATTTAATGTCAAAAACTATACATTAACTTTTTAGATAAATTGGTATTCGTCAACCATTTATTATGTATAATAACTCTTGCGATTAACTAAAATATTCATAACAAGTAAGATAGTTGCAGTCGGGCGTTACCGACTGCGGAATACTCATTCACACCCTTTCAGCAATTAGTAGCTAAGTTTTGTTTTAAT